AGCCGATGATACTAAGACGCGTTTACGTCCTCATATCCGGCGTCTGCGGCCGCAACTGGTGCTGAAAGCGCAGCACGACCGCGGCAAAACCCTCTCCGCGGCCTTCCTAACAGGGAGGGGGTCGATCACGGGCGTAAGATATAGATTGTAAAACGATAAAGGAAGTGTTGTTACATATGTGCCTCATTAACTTGATTATACGAGTACGTAGCGCATTTTTTTTGTTTTTGTGATTAAATGAGATATACATATTTTTTTAAATTTAGGGCATAATTTATTTTAATTATCTGGAACATGTTTTTTATTTTCGTGATTACATAGGATTTTTTATTTCTTCTATATTTACATACCAATAACATGTATCAAGCTCAACGCTTGACATCATCCCCTTTACCATTAGTCACTATAAGGAGTGGTTGCTCACTGATGATAGACCGAGAAGTTACCGTTGGGTCACTTTGAGAAGGGGTGCACTTGTTGTTTCTCACCAAATAAATTTCATACCAAAGCGCCTGGCGATCAAGTCGATTAATTGCGATGTTAGGCCGCTTCTATTTCGGCGTTATGGATTCGTGCAGCTGGCGCGAAAGCAACACATGACCCACCAGCAGGTATTATTTCTTCTGCTTCTTCGAAGGAGCATCCTGCAACATTAAACGTTGCAGATTCAATGAGTGTTCACGTGTAGCTCATTTACCCATAGAGTCAGCTGCGGGTGTTAAATTCATGGAAAATCTCAATCTCAATCAGCTAGTGCTCATTTAATCAGGAGATTCGAAGTCCCTTATATGACTAGAAACAACCCGCAGAGCCCGCCGGTGAGGCAGTGTCTTCCGGAGAAAGTGACCGCCTAAGCCTCGTGGCATGGCTGCCGCAACAAGTCTTTACGTATTATAAAGTTTTGGATCGCCCGACAATCCTGAAGTCTCGCCTATAAGATCAGTTGGTCGCGCTCGCATAAGTTTGATACGAGCGACTTCAACAAGTGCACTGGCCGTCGTGACAATGCAGGTATCTCAGACGGGGGTCATTGAAGCTACAGCAATTAGAGTGAATGTGGCGATCGTAGTGCCGGTACTTTGCTGGAACCACGCAAGAAATACGAGACCATTACTAATTGCGTTTTGCTCCTGACCTTAGGCCATAAATGAGGGCTCAAAGTACCGTAGAACATTTTAATTATTATAACATTTGAAATGAATGTAATTTCCCTTCTGGACTCGTCGAGGCTTCATGGTTTTGATGCCAGTGCAAAAAATATGGCACTGAACATAATCTTTACATCTCTTCTTAATTTAAACGTTAACACAAAACCGCTGCGTAGACGAACAGGCGCTTGCGTAGGCGTGAAATTTCTTCCTTGTCAAAAAATGTTGGGTATAGAGCGTTGCGAGACAAGCCTACAGCTGCCCGCAGTAAATAAACAAGAATTATCCAATCGAGTGCTCGTGGTAAAGTATACCGACTATCGTCAGATGCAGTCTTGCCCTGTGTTTCGCAGTAGGAAATTTTATCAGTTGTGTTGACATCTTTACCGTGTCACTAGGAAAAAATTCTCCCTATCACCCATATCAAAGGTCGCGAATCTTTTCTTGGATGCAGGAAGTGATTAAGAATTTGCAATTCCTATACAAAGAGCTTTTGCCATCGTTCGACGATGGACATTCAGCATTTAATAATGTGGCTCGTCTCATCGGACAACGATACCAAGGACGTCAGTCATTAGTTGAAAGATATATACGGCTGTCTTACGGAGGATTATACCACAGCCGCCGGTGTTAAGGTGTCCTATCTACTTGATCTTCGATCTGCTTAAAAAAACGCTGCAACATAAAGTGATTCTATCGCGCGAGTCCAGCAAATGATGTGGTGGAGGATGAAAAACATGTCATAAGACATTTGGCGGATTCAATTAAACATCCACGAAATCTATCGCTCATTTAATCTACCGAGCGAGAATTCGGAGCTATAGAAGAATAATCAATACGTTCTTGGTCGATTCGGTGAGAAGCATTGCAAAGACTACGAATCCTATCGTGCATTATCGGGGTGAGTATGTTCGCATTTTCATAGAAGTAGAGAAAGTGTATCCTTTGTTGCCAAGCTGCCGTCAGCTCGTTAGGGGTTCTTACGATGATAATAGGGAGGTGTTTTTACTACGCGACCAGGCTGATCGCGTAGAGGGCCAAAAGTACGCCATTATCGATATATGTGAGCGTGAAGGATATCTTCATCGTTGGAAGCATGATAGCACTGACAGCCTTCGATAAATTTAGCTTGTACACTCAGTTCATGTGGAATCTCAATCTTGTGTGCTTTGTGTTGTCCACGAAATTTTCAAGAAATAATTTGGGGTGTGGTGGAGTGGTGATCTCAAACTCCTTGTGACCCCGACTCTCTGCTGGCACACGGACGACCAACTAACGGATGAGGGTACCTCAATTCCGTGCTCTGTGTTGTCTTGTTCTCCTTGTGTACCCGTCCGGTGGGGCGGGTTGCGCTCTTCTTGGTGGACTAGAGTTGACGCTGAATCTTGACCGTTTTAGGGGTAGGTGTTAATCGGGTGGAAACTCTATCACCCGGTCAAATGTAGGTGTGGATCGATGTGGTGATTCTTCACTCGATCGCAAGTACACTTGGGCGCTCTCCCAGAGTTGCCTTTATCCAAAGATGATTCTTGATCCGTGAACATTCCGAACCACTTGAACCGTCTCGCGATCTTGAATCTGAATCGTTAAGTTTCCTGCGTCCGATCGCAGTGGGTGTGTGGGGTGGGACTGATGTTCCCCATTGGCCAAATAATCCAAAGGCGAAGGTTGTAAAGACGCGGGTGACTATCTATTCAACACGAGGCCAACGTTTTCTGCTCGGGAGAAGTCGACGCGTCTCTTTCGTTGCAAATTCAGTTCTGTTTGAGGTCAACTAGCCAAATCCAAATCCTATGACTATGCCTATCTGTTCGCTAGAATCAATGTTGCCTATCGCCTAGTCTATGTAATTTCACCCCTTGCATCATGTGGTCCACAGCAGGTAATTCGTGGCGGATCGCTAGGTAGTGGATCGCTAGGTGGTAGATCGCTCCATAGTGGATCGATCCATAGTGATTTGTAGGTGGTGGGTTAATCCGTACCTAGGTAGTAGATCTCTCCATTGTGTATAGCTCCATAGTGAATCGGTAGATGGTGGATCTCTCGGATAGTATATCGCTCGGGGAACAACGCTTGGGTAGTGGGTCGCGGTACGTAGTGATCTTGTATGTGACTCACACCAATCCTCCAAAATATGTGTCCACAAAATCAATCCTTACACACCCAGGGTGGATCGTGATCATTCTCTTGAGTCTCTGATTGGATATCCACCGTCGGATTGGCGTTGCTTTTGAGATCTAGCATGTTTGATGATCTTGACGATCCGCTCCTTCAATATTTCTTACTATTTCCACCTATTTTCCGTTGTCGTTAGCGATCCATTATTCCAGTTGATCTTCACCACATGAGCGATCTAACCCTTGTACCTTGATGATCCAAGCCCTCGATTGCGGATGGTGATCGGTCGATCCTCAATTCTTGACCATACTCCTTCATGGCCGTTAGGTAGATTATCCCGCATAATTTCCACAGTCGTTTTCTGTTATTCAGTCGTTTGGTCCCATCATTCGTGCCAACAGGCCTATCTCCGAGCGCAAACCACCAATCAATCGATCTCGCACTTAATGCTGTCGGCGCGATTCACACTTTCCATCATTATGTTTCTGCGCTTCTCCACATGGCCACTATTAAGACAGGTTTCTATCAATTAACTGCAACTTTAGGAACTTTTTTGTGGTGCCCTTCTATCAGCGCACGTCCTTACAAATGGACGGCTGGGTCGATAGAGGGCTCCTTATTGTGTTTGTAGCGGCTAACTTTAATAGTCCTAATACAGTTCTTCCTCGACACACCGAACAGCACACTCTTCCATACAGCCTGTCTCACGTCGAGAGTGAACACGTTTGCGCATAAATACATCTGGAATCTACAACCGCTTCGGTGAGCATAAATACTGCAGAGTAAACCTGTTTGATGTTGCATTTATCTTTTTATCCAACTCGCCTTGTAACGGTGTGAGCCCGTTTCATTGCCACTGATGTCTGAATACATTGAATTATAAAATTATTACCTACAAGGCAAAGTTTTTTTGGCCGCTCCACTTAGTGGTTGAATTGGGCTTTTGTATCAACCAAATTAAACACCAATCGTTGCTAGATGCGTGCAATGGGCGGTGATCGAGAAACCTAAATTGAAGATTTGTACCTTGATCGGTTAAACTAAGACAAAGAGAGTTGACCAAAAGACAGATAGCTATATTAAATACAACTCTGCATTTTCCTACTCAGAGCTTCCTTAGCTCTGTATTCTACCTCTATCTATCCTCACGTTCACGCGTACGTGGCGCTTGGTAGCACACACCCTTGTTTTGAAAACAAACAAGAGCTTACATGTAATAGGTGAGAGCGTTGTAACGGGGCACTGGTTACAACGTACTGGTTGATCAGTACGGAGCTGACTTCCACTGACAACAGTGATTATCAGTGCCCTCCTAAGTTTTGCATAAATACAGAGAAAGTAAAGGAGACTAGTGAACACTAGCCTCTGGTAAAAGTAAAACTGAAATTTAATACAATTACGCCCTATCACTCTTGTGTGTCTGTTTATCTTGACTTAATTTAATCAATCTAACTAACGTATGATGACGTCTACTCATCACCCACTGCGCGCGTCTAGCAGCGATTGGTGGGTTCGATATCATCACGATATCAACCAATGAGTAGACCCTTCGGTCATCTTCAACAATATCATCATGCTCTGTGATATTGTTGAAAGAATATCCAACGTAATATTCTTTGTTGTCATTTTAGCCTTAATGACAAAATCATGTAACGGGCTACCTCGTTATACTGCAAGTCTCGCCAACACTTCCTCGCCTCGACGGGTGCACTTGACCTCGCCCAGTGCATTAATTTAGAAATCGTCCCCTGTAGACCCCTCGGTGAGGATGATGTCTCCTGACTCGACAAACGCTTCGCGCAACGCATCTGCCACTGTCATCTTCTCATAGCTCAACAGCGTTGAAAAGATCGGCACGTGGCCCAAAAAGTCGAGGTAAAGAGCGCGTTGTTGCATCGTTGTTGCCATAAGCACGCACTTGAACGTCCTCCGATCCAGTGTCCAGCACTCAACACGGGTCCTGACCCGCACGGTCGCAGCTCTGGGCGAGTCGTACAGCAGCGCCAGCTCGCCAAAGAAGTTACGCGTAGACGTCGCACACACGTCCCCTACGACCCGGTCGTCCACTACCACATCGCAGACACCGCTTGCCACGATATAAAACGTGTCTCCAGCCACGTCGCCTTGCGCCACAATGTTCATGCCTGCGTCCACAGCAACATGCTTCATAGCGTTCACGAGCACCTGCATCGTATCTTGTGGGATAGTTGCAAAGAGCAGATTGCGTCGGATCGAGCGACGAATGGACTCGGCATGTCCTTTGCTCTTGACGTAAACAGGAGGCGTCCACTGTTCATGAGGCGCTGGCACAAACGACGACACGACCGAGCGGCGGTGCCTGTTGGTAAAGCCTCCAATGTGGTATATTAAGCCACAGAAGGATGAGTGTCAACGAGTTTGCCACAAATGAACGCACCAGTATATTCAAACCTGTGTGCAAAAAACTCCTCAACCAATGTGCCTGGCATCAGGACGAAGGGTATTGGAATTTTAGCCATTTCTGTAATCAGGTTTTTTTTGGACAGAGTTGTATATCATGTTTGCCAAATTCTGTTGATGATACTTCAATTGTGCGTTCGAGCAAGTACTGTGAAAGAAAGCATTCATGGCTGGCGATCAGGACCAAGATCGACCCCGCAAGTGTCGAGCATTAGCACGTTATATACTCAAAACTTGATTTGCGGAGGATTCTTCGGATACCGACGACGGACAAGAAGCAATCGATTCTATTACATCCGGAATAACAGGCTGTGTTTCTCTCCCTCTCGTCCATCCATTTCTACGGCAAATTAAGCTACTGCTATTGCTCCTACTGCTTTGAGATGGTGTCTGATCGAGTATGATGTTGCCAGGTCTCTGGCCGCGTAGATACCACTCCCAGCAGGAGTTGATGACTTGAGTCTAGCAGGCGACAGAAGAGGCATTACAACTTGGCAAGAGGGAGGTGCAGTTATTATACAGAAAAACGAGGGGCTACAAAGCACATTGCTGGTGAATACGCCGACAATAATGGTAATATATCCGCTCTGCAAAATTCGTCTTTTACACAACCCTTCGGCGACTTGATACCTACAGCCCCTCTACCACACACACAACGACGTCGTCTGCATCGAGCATGTCGCACTCGACCTGGTCGGCGGACAACGGACACGCCTCCTGTCGATTGCCCAAGACATTGGCTTCGATCGGCACCATGGAGCTGAAGAACTGAAGCTGGACATGCGACCGTCAGGTTTCGTGCCCCTGGCTTAGGGGCTCGCGCTGACACTGTTCCAGTCGTTCAACGAGCAACAGGTCTAGGAGGTGCTGCAGACAGACTCGAGAAGCATTTTTTCTTGACGACAAAAGAAGTGGAAGTCGGGACGCTCTTCATACGTGCAAATTGGGGGCACATATTGCATCTAGTGCACCACGATGAGCTCCTGGGACTGTTGGAAGACCCAGGAGACGTTGAAACGAGCGTCCACGGGACGTGACCCACGTTCTAGGAGGACAGTATTTGGACTCGTGCCTGTCCAAGATGCAGAGGAACCACATCCACTTTGCCGAGATCAACGGCCTGGGCGATGGCACGGTCGGGAGTGGTATGGGCGCAAGCTGCAACCGGTTTGTGTACATTAACTTTCCCGTGTCCGTGGGGGAAGGGTTCAAGATTTACAAGTCTGGCAACAACGTCGTGTTGAGTCCTGGTAAGTGTGACGGGATTTGTTGATCGACGACACTGTCTGTGAGCGGTGAAGAGAGACGGCACGGTCGTGCAGAGATAGATGAGCAAGGCGAGAAAAAGTGTGAGAGGTAGCGGACGCATGGACCAGATATTTTAATTTTCATGTGCGTGTATAGTTGCGGTAAAGTACCGTCATTGTCACAACTATGCTGCTCGTGGAGTCAAAGCTTCCCGAGCATCGCAATGCCTGACTGAGCGCAAACTTCTTGTCGTCAGTATTGACACTAGCTTTGGTTGCCAGCAAAGCTATGGCGTTTTGCAATCGACAACTGCCACATTTACAATTCGCTGCAGCCGTGGCCAACTTAGGACACAGCGATGCTTTCGCTTTATGACGGTTTGGCTCAAGCTCGATTGACGAAATGTCATGAAGTGAGTGCGATACACAAGGATACCACGACCAGGTGCTTCGTCGAAGTGGACATAGGAAACAACAGCTCGTACGCTAAGCTCCGTCTTCGATCGTTGCGTAATCTGGCTAGAGTGCTGTCATTACGTCGCAAGCGTTGCATAGCTTCTTAGATGTCCAGGGCCTGGCTGGCAAAATGGTCGTGTCTCTAGGCGACACTTTGTATAACACCAAAAGGAACCAGCTGTCATGTAATATGCCCGTTTTATCATTGCAGATCCACAATGTTTCACGGACCAGGTCATCCCGTCAATGAGAAAAAAGTCGATCAGCATCAATTGTGTAAACTTCAAGCATCTGGCTGTATTCCAACATGAACGCTGTATGAGTTCGTGCACCAAAGCTTTTACGCCAACTTTTATGCGACCAAATCTGCAGAAAAAGATGCAAAAATCGGGTGGAATTTCTGTCTCGATCAGAAGTGAAAAATGCAGACGCGCAGCGACAAGAAAAGTTTTTGGCACGCTTCCTTCACTGCGTAACCTGCCGGAACCGACCTACTCGTTACAATGCGCAAACTTTGTCGTGCGCTCGCGGCTTTCGGCACCATGTTCATGGGCTTGGGAATCGGCGGTAAGCAAGCCAGTTCCTCAACTCATTTTGCTACCCTGAGACGCCTCAACGAGATGACGCACAATCACGAACCTGCGCGTCCAGACGGCGCGTTCGAGACGAGCACGGTCGCATCCGTTGCTGACAGTACTTTGAAGACGAATGATACAATGGAAGAGGAAGCTTTCGTTGAGGATCATTCGAGCGAGACGCGGGGTTGGGTGAGCCTTCCAGAGATTATGGAATCGGTCGTTCGCAAAACGGGGCATGATGTTGCGACTGTCGCTGAAGGTGGCGCGCACAGCGAAATTTCAATGAACAGCGCGACCGCTGTCAAAGGCGCCGTCCATAGAGAAAGCCCGGCGGATGTTGCAGCCACTTACGAAGGCGGTGTCCATAGCGATAGTCCGATGGGTGTGAAGACCACTTCTGAAGGCGCCATCAACATCGCGAGTCCGATGGACATTGCGACTGAACCTTATCATGAAGTCCCTATGAGCATAGGGGCCCTAGATCGGACCGAGCTCTTCTGGGACGTTGCCAGAAGCGAGGGATTCATTGACGCATCGGCACTCAGAGATGTGCTACAGCGTTTTGGTTTTCGTCCACCACCGAAAACAAGATACGCTCAGATAATGACAAGCAAGGTAGTCGACACGACGGGCACAGCTGGCAAAGCAGTCGACACGTCAGGAAAAGCAGCCGACACGACGGGCAAAGTAGCCGACACGACAGGCAGAGCAGTCGACACGGTTGGCGCAGCAGTCGACACGACAGGCAAAGCAGCCGACACGGCCGGCGCAGCAGTCCACACGACAGGCAAAGTGAGCGACACGGCTGGCTTAGCAGCTGGCAAGAAAAGCGGAGTCCTGACTGCAACAGGAGAAGCGATTCATGCCATGTTACTGGTCAGAAGCCCGGCCGATGTAATGCAGGCACTGGTGTCACTTCACAGGTTTGAAGATATGAAAGAAGAAGCCAGCGTGCTGACAAGAAAATTACTATCACGCTTCATGCATCTTCCGATAGTGCTTCCTTGTATGTGGATGGCGTCAGGACTGCGACCTGAAGTGATTTTCAGAGCCTTCGGTTTTGATTGGGCCAAGTTGGACAGCTTATCGCTGATATTTTTGGACAAGTTGATGGAGTATATTGATCTGTTCAGAGTACTGCACCCGAGTACTTCTAGCCGTATTGACACGGCAGAACTCTTGTTTGATTTTAAAGATGGAAATGGACTGGACGCTCATCTCAAGGAGATTGCCTTCCAACCTGGATATGACGCTCTCGCCCGTTCGCTACAGGAACTTCACAATGAGCTTAAGGACTTCAGATCCAGCGCGAAAGAAGACATCGGGTTGTTCGCCAAGAGTGAATTATCAAAGCAATTTTCTCTCGTCGATGACGAGAACTTTTGGAGTATTGCCGGACTGAAAGGACCCATCGACGTGGAGAAATTCAAAGAATACTTAATTCGTAATCGTCAGGATCCAATAGCGCGCGTCGACGATAATTCCATTATATCGGCCTTGGTGTCGGTTAAAGGTCCAGAGGACGTGGCGCAGGCACTATCATCGCTTCATGATCTGAAGTACGACGATTTTGGCATATCAGGTATGCACAATGGCCTAGCTTATCACCACTCTCATTCACCTGGAAAAATAGCTAGCATATGGATGGAGCTGGGATTGGACCCCCAAAAGATTTATGAGATGCTCTTGTTACGCCATCAAAATGCGTATGTGACAAATCCAGCTTGTGTTGTCGAGTGGTTCAAGTACGTCGAGCTGTACACAGCGGTGCACCCGAAGTATGCATTGAGCCTCAATGAAGCAGCAAAGCTTTTGGTTCAAAAACAAGATACAAAGGGGCCGAGAGCATGGGTTGAGTTCTTTGAAGAATCAAACAATAATGAGTACAAAGAGTTTGCTAAGACGCTGCGCAAACTTTACAACGAAATGTAGGAGAAGGAGTCAAAAATGTTTTATGAGGACACGAGGACGTAGAAAACGAGCAAAGCCGAGCGGGTGGTAGTAAGTTAGTGTTTGAAGTAGTCGATATGGCGCTTCAAAAAAAACTGTAGGCTTAGATTTAGCATGAGATATATGTGAACTAAGGACCTCGAATACTAAACTTTGCATTTTAATTCCCCCCCAACGTTTCTGAACCGACTGAACTTCAAGACGGCCGCTGCGGTGAGATTCATACTTGGATCCTAGGTAGTAACCATACCAATGACTACGCATGCGATTCAGCGTAGACACGTACGAGTAAACATTTTCCAAATTGACATGTTACCTGATGGAAAGCAAAATAAAAACCAAACAAAATCGCCGTGCACATTGACATATATTTAAAAACAACGGCAGAACACAAAATGCCTCATTTTATCACGAAAATAAAAAAATACCCTTGGTAATTAGAAAATATAAAAGAAGCCCCAGATAATAAATAGGTATAAAAATGCTCCAGATAATTTCGGAAATAAAAAAATACTATAGGATAAGTAAAAGTAAAAAATGCCCCGAATAATCACGAAAATAAAAATTGCCCCACGTCATAGTATACTTGAGTTAGTGTCGTGATGCCGCCACACTTTAGTTAACCGAAGCGCAACATATACATACAAGTTCTGGTTCTGAATATGATTGTTCATCACGCAATTTGTATAAGGACGATGCGACCTACTCCAACTTCCCACAGTAGGTGCTGGTCAATTCAAAGTGCAAGCTGCTCAGATCCCATCATTACATTAAGTTGTGTCATTAGACTTGAACGCAGCTCGGTAGGAGCAGCAGTACACTCGTCCGTTTCTAGCTACACACACAAACATGTACACTGTCCGTCATTGAGAACCAGCATACACGTGTTGCGGATAATCGTGCACGCGACCCCATCCAATGCAACAACTGTATCTCGAAACAGAAACAGCAGTAGCATCATCAACAGAGCAACTAATACAACAATAACATAAGCGATAAAATTAATATCAAGAACCTTATCACCGGTGGACTGTGTTTACGGCCGCGACCAATGATACGAAGACGCTTTTACGAACTTATGTCTCGCGTTTGCGCCTGCAACTGGTGTCTGAAAGCGCGGCACCCCCCGCAGCAAAACCCTCTCCGCGGCTTCCCAAAAAGGGTGGGGGTTGGTCACGGCCGTAAAATCGAAAAGAGAAAATGGTTAAGGACGTGTGGTATATGTGTATGCACATTACCTTGAGTATAATAGGATGTGGGCCATTTATTTTATTTTCCTGATCATCTGGGGCCTTTTTTCATTTTCCAATTATCTAGTGCATTTTTTTAACTTCTTCCAATTATTTGGGCATTATTATATTCGTGATTAAATGGGGCATATTTTATTTTCCCTTACAAAATACTTGACACTGGCAATATACAGAGAGCGGATATTGCGCGTCTATTTATGATTTAAAGATTTTTCGGGCACCAGGACCCAATAATAAGGTGCTTATTAATAGGTCATAGTTCAGTGGTTCGTATCAGCTAGGGGGCATATGCGCACTTAGTTCGAGGTGGAATGAAGGCACATATAATTCGAGTTTAATTGACGAGTCCTTAAGGACCACTGTCCTCACGCCCTTTGGTGAAAGACGGTAACGGGGCTTTACCCTTATCGTTACAGTTAAGTCGACGTATGTTCTTCCCTTAATGACCACATGACACATGTATAAAATGACGCGGTTTCGTATTTCTGTGTCTACATTAAATAATATAAATCAATAAATGTAGATTTTGTAGGATAAATATGAAGACCAACCTGTTTTGTCTTTTCATTTTTCTTACGTGATCGTAATAATGAAAGCATCTATTTTCCTTTGTACAATATCATTCCAAGAATGTTTACTTTGACTGTAAGTCGTGAATCCAAGGAGGTTAAAAAGGCTTTTAATGTATTTCGTCCTAAGGTTGATGTTGCCACGTCCTGATTCTCGTTGTATTAAACCCATAATGTTCGTCTATCGTGATATTATGAAAGGGTTACAGATACGTATCCTTTCCATAAAGATGAAGTACATATATTTTCTAATAAACAACGATATTTTGATTTAGTCGCAAAAAACATTTGCGACCGGGGCAGTGATTATCCTTTAATGCATAAAGTGGATGCACGAGATTCGGACGTCAAATAGGGGCGAATTATGGCAGATTCCAGTATAGTGTTTGCGCTATGAACGGATTGCGTTTGAAATTTAGCGTGCAGGCACGTTCTTAAAAATTGCTGCAGATAATGGCAGAGGAGGTCAAACTTTATTTGTATAAGGAGCAATTTCACAGGACTGCTTGTATTGCAGATTGGGCTTAACGGACATCCAAAGAGTCGTATGTCACCTCAAGAGTCGTATGTCACCTCAAATAAGTCTCATTTTGCGGACACATTATGCACCAATGCAGCAATCGCTTATACAATGTAGATCACTATGATAAACTAGCACTAAAACCTTTAGCATTCGTGTTCTGCCTGAAGCTTTGAGCAAAGAACGTACCTGCCAGAAGCGAGTATTAAGCATGTAGCAATTAAACCAAAAGATTATGCTTGCAAGAATATTTGCTTTTTATCTCGTTAAACATAGGAGATAAACACATATTGAACTACGAATTGTTTGGTCTCCAAAACTTCCCGGAGTTTAAATGAATCAGAAAAAGGACGTAATGTCAGCGGTAATTTGTGACACTCAGTCATCAACCATGCTAATTTCTAGCGATTAAGAAAGCATTTTTGAGTAGTGTTGACCTTTCTGTCTTCTATTAATTAGTGGATCATACATGTGTATATTTATTATGATATAATCATGTGATTGGTAAAATACCTTTAGTTCCACATTAACGATGAAAAACTGGAAACGTCGTCAGGGAATATTTAAAAGATATAAAATAATTATAACAGGCTTATTGTATAAATAAATCTTTTTGAACCATTTTATGAGTATACTACAATATTAAAATCATATTCGGAAAATGTGAGGTAAGACTGACATATTGATGATTAGACCAACATGATGGAATGACTGTAAAATTAAAAAAAATGACGGTTAACAATTTTAAAAATATCTTGATTGATTATGCGAGCATTGTAATGGGGCTAGAATAACCCGTTACTTAACTTACACTATTGTTTTGAGGAAGCTCAAAACCCAAGTCTTTGGTGACTAGTATTTTTAACTCTGTTTATATTTTTTGTCTTTTAAATCATCCTAAGTACGAATGGTTCCCTTGGACTCATGGGAACCACTCAATCTACGTGCCGATATCTTACTGGCTAATAATGGAGCTGAGCCCATTAAACCAGCTAAAAGATACGACGTGCTACTTTCGCTACTTCGAAAGCAACACCCCTACTTAAGTAACATGTAAACTTAATCGAAACTACTTATGTAACGGGGTGGCCCATTACATCACGCCCTTCTCAAGACAGCACTCACGAACCGTGAGTGCTCAACCACAAGACCCAACGACGCACAAACCAAACGATGACTAAAGACGCAGACGCCAACACTACAGCACTCCCGCGCACAATCAGCGGGAGTTTAGTAGACCATGTGATGGATCAGCACCTGATCTCTTGGGCGCTGTACGACTTGTCCGGATCTCGAGCTCCGGACTCTCTCGAAACGATGCAGGACTACTTCCGGCGTTTCCGTGGGTTGCGCGGGAAGACTCTTGATGGCATCTCGTACGAGTACGCTCCAGCGGTATTAGTGCGCGTTCATCCGGCATTGGAACCGGATGCTTGAAGACGGAAGAAACTTTCAGCAGTGGCTGGCCAATCGCGAAGATATCCACGCCGATCATTCAATCGGTGTACTGCGCGAGAAGATCTGCGAAAACGCGTGGAACGTAGATCGACTCTGCTACGTTCACGTACACGAATCTTGTTACTCTTGTGACTCGATGCCTCGTCCAACTCGCGAGTCTTGGCAACGACACGTCGCTGAGTATCCACTCAGCGAGTATGAACAGCTCTGGATCGGACGGTATGAGCGCAGCTTGATGGAGCGCAAGACTGCGGTTAAACGTGGCGCGTCACGCTGGCGACACCACTCGCGTTCTCGAGATCGTGGTGCCATGCACTCGCCACGACGTTCTCGTTCGCGTGATCGTGGCGTTACACGTTCGCCGCGACGTTTTCGTCGTCGCTCTTCATCTCGTCGTCGTGGTGACGTTTCACCACGACGTTCTCGCAATCACTCTTGGTCCCGTAGTCGTGGTGACGCTTCATCACGACACCGTCGTCGTTCATCTCGTTCTCGCTCACCGCGAGAGCACACAGGTCGTGGACCAAATCTGCACCAAGCGTATGCACGGACTCGTAAGCCCGAACGACGTCTGGAACGTCTCGAAGAAGCGAAGAACGCGGTTCCCACGTATCCTGCTCGGGTGGAAACCCGAGCCAACGTACACGATACTTGCGCGCGGTTAAACCGCGCGCTCATGGTGTCGCGACGAGGGTCCTCATGACCCAATAAGCGTTCCACAATCCAGCGCTTCTGACCTTCCGCGTCCTCAAGCGGTGGTGGGCCCTCGCGGTGATACTGCTGGCGTCCTGGTTGCCCAGGACGATGTAGATGCGGCCGTGAACAAGGCTGTTGATGCCCAGCTGGAAGCTAAAGCTGCCCTTGATCGAGCTGCGCGGGCTGAGAGAACAGCGAACGAGATCCGACAGTCGAACCGCGAGCTGCTTGAACGGATGCGGAACCTAGAACGCCAGGTTCTTGGGCACGCGCAGACTGGGACGGAGCCGCGTCCGATGTCACTGGCGCGTCAAGCAAGGCGAGAGAGAAGGTCGACCTATGAGCCTTTGACTCCGAGGACGGAGTCAACCCGTGAAGCGTAGCTGGACGATACTCCTTGAGCCTCCCGACGTAAAACATCGGATGAAGTCGCAGTGACGAAGGGATGTCCAGCGTGTATGCGTCGTCGATCGCCTTGAGTACTGTGAA